TGAATGCCAGATTCGTGGGACCCCAGTACACCTCCAGGAGCCGAATCCGATGCAATCACACAAGAGTCTTTATTGCAAGCTAGAGCTTGCACTCAACCATTTCCGACGCAGTGATCCCGACGAGTGGGTCCCATTCCTTTGTTCAGATTTTATAGGTTTTTGGGGATACTCTATGTGTCACAACATCACACAGCAAATCATTTCACACCGCAGGAAGATCAAACAACTCTTAACATTGATTAGCACATTCACTGGTGGGAACAAGTTGGGTAGGGGTGATTGGTTAGTACAAGAGGGGGATTCATTTGAACTGATTGGTTTAAGCCACGAGGGGTGTACGTGCTGAACTACATGGTTTCCCAACATGTTATCAACCACCATAAACTACTGGGGGGTCATCTGGCATCTCAGGTATTTCCCTGTCTCATGCTGATTGGAAGTTGCTAGGGGGGTTGCTATGGGTCCCCACCTAGCCTAACTGAGTCAGGGACACCTGGCGCAGCAGATCTCTCCTGTTATTTGCAGACAAACAACTCAGCAAGGTGTGTATGTGCCTAGGAGTGCTCTGTGGGTCTTTCCAAGGACAAGGGTCACGCCCCCTTCCTTAGGACAGGCCTTGAGGTAGAAGCTGCTGTTATTTATTTTCAAAAATGGAGTCACATCAGTTTCTCACTTCAAGGGTCAATTGTATGGTTTGTGAGCTGTGTCACCAGTGAGGCATTTAAAAAATAAATTAGAGCTGGGGGTGTCGCTCGGTGGGAGAGCCCTCGCCTCGCATGCCGGAGGCCCTGGGTTCCAGCCTCAGCCCTGCCAAACCAAGAAAATAAACAAACAAACTAAAGAATCACTATCTTCTCCCTCTCCCTGCCCACTTGTCCTGTTGGTGGGAATAACTGAGAGTGTCCCTTTCCCTGTCCCCCCCTACCCCCGTGCTCATTACCCACTCTGTTCATTTTCCCACACAGATATTGCTAGATGCTGGAACTGTAATTGAAGGATCTCCTCCCTGGGGTCCTTAGGCCAGCTCACCTCCAGCTGGTACACCTGCCCAGGGTGACTGCTCACAGGCCACCCGACAGTCCCCAAGGGCCTTGTTCCCAAGGGCCCTGTCAGTAGGCCAGCCTAGTTAAGCAGGACCTGGCCATTTATGAAAATGGTCGGACTCATCTTTGAGTCCCAAATAATTTGAAGAGATCACATAAGAACTCCAAGGGACATGGCATCCAGGAGAAGCCAAAGGGTGGCCACGCCCGAGGTCTTGGGTAAGGCAGTAGCAGGGCCAGGCAAATGGGCAAACGATCCTCCAGCGGCCAGGCACCCACCCCACTCCACATCCCCATCTGCAGCTCCTGCCTTGACCTCTCCTCCGGGGGACTCAGTTTAGAGTGGACTCTATCAGCCCCTGCCCAGAGCAAAGGAGCATGCGCCTCTGCACCTGCTCTCCTCATTTAATAAATTATGAGTCTTTAGGGATATTTGCCCAGAGACAGAGAAATGGAGACTTGTTTTGTGTCCCCAGCACAGAAAATTTCATGGAAGGCATTTGTTCCCAGTCAATGCCCTTGCTTGGTCAGGAAGGTGAGGATGAAGCCTGTGATCTGTCTAGGACCTAGAGCCAATTCTGTCACCACCTAGAGCCAACTCCCCAGAGCTATGTCCAGGGGAGGGTGTGACAGAGGAGCTGGGAGTCAGGATGGTGGGGAGGTGAAAACCAGATGAATCCTGAGCTGTGCACTTGGAGTTGGAGGCCTCCGTGCATACTGCGTGCGCAGGTAGATGTAGGAGTCAGTTCGTTGCAGGTCTCTCTGTCCACAGGAGGGTGTGGGACCAGTAGCACCTCACCTCCCAGCACTGGGCATACTCGCTGCCTAGATCTTGGGCTCTTGCTCTCTCTCTCTCTCTCTCTCTCTTTTTTTTTTTTTTTTGGGCAGTGCTGAGGATGAAACCCAGACCTCCGACAGCCACGGAGTACCTTGGAGAAATGGCTCAATCCAGGACCAGGGCAGAGGAGGTAGAATCTGCAATGTTTGTTGTAGCAGAAAATAAAAGCCCTCCAAGAATGATCAGAGCATGCCAGAAAGATGCAGACGTCACCTTGAAACAGACTCCTGCTGGTCGAATCAAAGATATTTTGAACACTGAAAGAAGCAATAATAGTAACAAGATTATAGCCTCCCGAATGAACAGGAAACCGTAAGTCCTTGCAGACATAAGTGAATGGATGAATAAATGAAAAGTGCCATGAGTAATGGAATATTTACATCATCTCAGAGTACCTCTCCACGCAGAAAAATATTTATTAATGACCCATGAGAAAAATAGTCGCTCTGAACTAGAGAGACCTGCCAGCCCTCCTGGGTGCGGTCACCCGAAGGGCGCCCCCTAGTGGCTGGCCCACTAGACTGTCTATTGATGGGCTCCCACCCGCAGCCTCAAGTTGATCCCACAAAGCTACAGGGCAGCCAGGGGAGCACAGCAGGTGCGTGAGGTCCTGGACAATCCCATCTCTCCATCTCAGCTTTCCTCTGCCATTTTTGAGCCTCTCCTTTAGACTTGAAGATTTGGAAGCTTCCAGAATCCTCTGGAGTCCGACTCTACTTTAAGGTCTTTGACCCCAGCCCTGGGAACCTTGCACCAAGACTGTCAGGTCTCAGGGATTCAGGGGAGGGGCAGAGAAGTTTGGAGCCATACGAAATGGAGGAGGGAGGGGGCTGTTAGGGCAAACAGCAGCTTCCCCAAGTGGGGTCTGCAGGCTGAGGTCCACCCTGCCCCTCCCTGCTCCTCCCTGCCCTTCCCCATCCTTCCTCCTTGGCCCTGCTCCAGGGCCTGAACATTTGAAAGTCTGAAGCCCAGCCCCACTACTCATTGCATGCGTTCAAGCAAGTTAACTATCTCCTCTGTGCCTCAGTCCCCCCTCTGTAAAATGGGGATGACAGGAGCTCCTTCACTGAGCTAAGTGCTCAAGTAAGTTTAGGTCTTTACTCTCATTGATAACGGTTATCCCCGCCCTCCTCCGACAGCAGGACCTTGAACCTACAGGTCACAGGAACCGGGGAAGTTGCCTTGGGCTATGGAGAGCTATGTGGGCTGTAGGTCCACCTGCTGGTACAACCTCATCTTGGCTTTAGCTAAAAGCTGCAGGAATGTGGCTCATGATGCCAGAACCTTCTATCTCTACAGCAACCACAAGAATTCAGATTTCTAAAGCAAAGGCCCCCCTGATTATTAACTGGGAGTACGTAACAACCTGTGACCCTGCCCAACCATATCGCCAGTCCCAGGGATTGAGAGATACAATACAGATCCTACTGATTTTTCAGTTCACTTTGAACTTGGATTGTTTTTTTGTAGTGTAGGTATGTTAGTCTGTTTCCATTATTACAACAAAGTACCTGAGATAATCAACTTAAAAGGAGAAAAAGTTTATTTTGGGGCTGGGGAAGTGGCTCAAGCGGTAGCGCGCTCGCCTGGCATGCGTGTGGCCCGGGTTTGATCCTCAGTACCACATACCAACAAAGATGTTGTGTCCGCTGAAAAACTAAAAAATAAATATTAAAAAAAAAGTTTATTTTGACTTATGGTTTCGGAGGTACGGTTCATGGTTGCTTGGTCCTGTGGCTTTGATCCAGTAGGAACACACTATATCATGGGGGCAGTATGAGGCGGAGGAAATCTTTTTACCTCATAGTGGACAGGAAGTAGAGAGATAAGAAGGGGCAGGGAACCCAATATGCCTTCTAAGAGGCCAGGGATGTAGCTCAGTAGCAACGTGTTTGCCTCGCATACCTGAGGCCCTGGGTTCAATGCCTGGCACTACCATAAAAAAAAAAAAAAACCCACCACAAAACCCATATGCCCTTCAAGGGCACGACCCAATGACCTAACTTCCTCCCATTAGGCCCCACCTCCTAAAGTTTTCACCCCTCTCAATTGCACCAAAATTATAGCAGAGTGTGATGGTGCAGACCTGTAATCCCAGCAGCTTGGGAGGCTGAGGCAGGAGGATCACTAGTCAGCCTGGGCAACTTAATGAGATCTGTCTCAAAATAAAAAATAAAAAGGGCTGAAGATACAACTCACTAGTAGGATATCTCTGGTCTAATCCCCAGCACTACCAAAAAAATAAATAAATAAGATGCAAACTACAGTAATCAGTATATACTAAATATTGCAAAGGACATACTTTTTTTTAACCTTTATTTTATTTTTATGTGGTGCTGAGGATTGAACCCAGTACCTCGTGCATGCCAGGCGAGCACACTACCATCTTGAGCCACCCCCAGCCCCCTGCAAAGGACATACTTATTCTAAAAATTTATTTGTCACTTCTCTGATATTACATTTTAAGGGGCGGTTCTGTGTGTGTGTTTGCATTTTTTTTTTCTCCAACCTTGTCTGTGACTCTTCCCATTTTCTCAGCAGGAGGTCCAATCCCAATGGCAGGAGCCTGCCACTCTGATGGCGGTCACCCTTGGTCTGCATGGGCTGGGGAGCACAACCCTGCAGCACTGATGTGCCTTGCACATTTGACCCCAGGACAGATCGTTTTTAAACACCCTCACTCCTCTACTTGACAAAATCGTTCCACATTCACCCGCAGACCCTCCACCCCTGCCATCGTCCCAGTGCTCCCTCCTGCATCTGAAGGTCCTTGCTCACCGGCAGACTCTCTCAGGCCTTCCCCGACTTCCTGTATGGAGTTCAACCCTCCTCAACCCTCTCCTGGCACTGCCAGGATTCCCAGATGAGTTCTGTCTCTTCCCACTAAAGTGCCAACTCCACACGGGCAGGGAGGTTTGCATGTTTTGTTCCTGACCATTTCCCTGGTGGCCAGACCTTTTGTGCCGTATGGTAGGTGCCTGATAAAAAATATCCCTCCAATGAATGCATGAGTTGGGATTTGCACCCAGGTAGTTTGAATCAGAGCAAGCACACACACAAAAAAACCCACCTTGACCAAAAACCAAACCCACTGAACTGCTAGCCAGACTTGAGCCTTTTAAACATGCATTTTTATTTGTGGTGGAGAAATTTTGAACACACACAATTGGCAACACAGTATAACCCGTCACCCTGTCGCAACAGTTGCTGACCCATGATCGATGTTGCTCCATGTGTACCTTCACCCACTTCTTGGGCTATTGAGTGTTTATAAAATTACTCTTAAATGGAGCAGTTTAGCAAAACAACAGAATCTGTGGATCAGGAGTCCAGGTCCCACTTACTGGGGGCTCTGGCTTGGGGGGTCTCTCCCAAGAGATCACCGTCTTTCCTAGCCTAGTCTCAGGAGAGACCTCCCACCACTTCTATTCTCTAGAAGAGTCACTAGACCTGGTCTACCTACCAGGTGAGCGATTGAGCAGAGAATGTGAATACCAGGAGCCATTTTAGCAGCTGTCCACGGCGCGTAACCATGTTGACTCACGGACAGATGCCTGCAAGGGAATGTTTCTCGCAGCCATGTTGTGAGACAGAGGTCTTTTGTGCACACCTCCTCAGCCTGGCCTTGATTTGGGGCTACTCTGCACACTGAGAGTGTCCCGACTTGGCCTTGCAGGGTCCCTCCACTTCTCTCAGGATTTGTAGAGGAGGTTATCTCAGCTCCTGAGAATGATAGTCTGTAAAGAGCCCCTGAACTCTGTCCCACGTATTCTTGGTAGTTCTTCACAGCACCCTTGGTGGGGTTGAGCTGCAGGTACCTAGAACAGTGACCAACTCCATGAGGTCCCCTCAGGTGCTTCCTGGCTCTTCTCTAGCCACAGTGGCCAGCTTCCAAGACGACTCCAGGGGGGCCTCACTTCCTGTGGAACCCCCCCCCAATGCTGCATCCAGGCCCGTCTGTTCATCCAGGGGAATGAGGCGGAGGTGACAGTTGGAGATTCCTGAAACCAATTCTTCCTCCATCTGGTGGATCTCTCGCCCTGGGGGAAGCCAGCGGCTGGGCTTGGAGGCCATCAAGCATCTCTGTGGAGAGGATCTGAGGCCTCCTGCCAACCCCTGCCCCCGGGCGAGTCTTCAGATGACACTGCTCCCCACCAAGCAGCCCACCCTGGATTCCTGACTCCAGGCAACTTCAAGGAGTGATGTGAGGCAGCCTTTTCTCTGATCTGCCAGGTCATGGGGTGATGTAGCACAGAGCAGTATGTCCTCCTCCTGCTGACAGAGAGCACCCCCAAAATACCCCAAGCCCTGGTCTCAGCTCTACTTTGGGGGGAGCTAAAACCAACACAGGTCCGGCAGTGGGTGGGTTCGTCAGGCCTCTGTCGCTGGGAAGAGTACTTGAGATAACAGCTGGAGAGGAGGAGAGGGTTTCAGGTGTGGTTGGTTGTCTGCTGCTTTGGGGCAACAACTCAGTGGGGGGCAGGTTTCTCCTCTCAGGGCAGTCGGGAAGCTGAGCGATCACCAAGAAGGGGCAGGGTCCAGGAGCCCCTCAAGGGACGCACCCCAGTAGCCTGTCTTTCCACTAGGCTTCTCCTCCTGACAGTTCTACACTGACCAATGGCCCAATGACCAAGCATTTGGCACACGTGCCTTTGGGATCACTGAAGACCCTAACCATGACACAGAGAAACCTTCAGGGCCTGCTGGTGCCCATCAGCGGGAGCCTGGATACACGGTGGAGCAGGAATTTCCCTGAATCCCGGACGGACGGCAGTGAACAGGCCCCGGTGCCTTGATCCACACAAAGAGGTCCCCAGAGGAACACGGGGTAGAGCAAGGTTAGACCGTGCTGGGCAGCACGTGGGAGATCGTCCTCAGGGCGACACGCGGGGTCGTGGCGTGTGAAGTGGTCAAGTGTGGACGTGTCCGCAGGACTGGCCAGTGCCAGAATCAGGAGTGGTCCAGAGGGACGCGGGTGGGGCTGGAGGGGTGCACAGGGGCCACCGCTGGAGTGCATTTCTTTGTAAAGAAGGGAAACAAATGGGAAGGTAAATTTTGCTGCTGATGGGCTGGGTCTGTGGCTTGCCAAGCATGCACCAAATCCTGAGCTCCATCCCCAGCATCAGGGGGGAGAAAAGTGTTTCCATTTCAGAAGTCTGGCCTCCTTCTCGCCCTTATATTCAGAACCACGAAGTCCCACGTATCCTAATAGCTTCCCCTGTTTCCTTCAAGCAGGGCGAGCAGTTTCTGCTACTGACCCCCTGGCAAGCTCAGAGCAGAGGCCCACATGAGCCAAGGTTGAGCATTTCCAAAAAAATGCTCCCTAGGCTTGTGACCAAAGTGAAGGACAAGTGGGTGACACTCGCAGAGGCAGGGATCACTTCAGCCAGAGCCCATGGCCTCTGCCTACCCTGCACTTGCTATTGGCACAGCTCTCCAAGGGCATTAGTTACAACAGGTCCCCCGAAGTGGGTCACAGCGATTATCCCGCTTTTAGGGGTAATAATGATGATCATTATCCTAATGCAGCCACGGGTTCATATTTAGTGTTCTGCTGTTCTTGGAACTGCTTGGACACTCGGCAGGCCCCCATCCAGACGAAGCTGGGGCTCAGCTTCTATTCACTCGGAGCTGAGATTCAGAGAGGACCAGGTCACACTGGCTGTCGGTGGTGGAGACCGCAGTGACTCAGGGTACCCATGTTATTTTAGCCAGCTTTTCTCGCTCCTGTGACTAAAGGGCCAACTAGAAAAACTGTAGAGGAGGAAAGGTTTATTTAGGGCTCACGGTTTCAGAGGACTCAGTCCATGGAAGGCCGGCTCCATTCCTCGGGGCTCAAGGTAAGGCTGAACATCATGGCAGAAGAGTGTGGTGGAGGGAAGCGGCTCACATATTGATCAGAAAGCAGAGGGACCCCACTCTCCAGATTACAACTATGTACCCCAAAGCCACGTCCCCAGTGAACCACCTCCTCCAGCCACACCCCACCTACCTCCAGTGACCACCCAGTTAATCCCATCAGGAATGGATTCACTGATTGGGTCAAGGCTGTGACCCTATCATTTCTCCACTGAACCCCCTTGCGTCATCTCACACGTGAGCTTTTGGGGGACCCCACATCTAAACCATAACACATGTGGAGAGGACACCCTCCTACCCCCACATTTCACCCCAAAGGAATGTGAGGTGGCTTTGGGGGAGGTGACAAGTTCTTTCTACTCAGCATACGGTGGGGTCGGGCGTCATTTCCCTCTGCCCAGCCTCTGATGTCAGCACCCTATACTGTCCCCTTCCTTCAAGAATATCTCCCCCCCCCCATGTGATCTGGGGAGGGCCAATAGGGGGCGGCCAGTCAAAAGGGGAACATGAAGACATTATTTCTATAAAGAACACGAGGAATCATCAATCCAGAGTGTGTAATTAGAAGCAGAAAACAAAACAAAATAAATGAGAGGGGGGGGGGGGAGAGAGATTGATTCTGAGCATCACAGTGGACGCTCAGATAAATTCAAGTCTACAGGATAACGAAGAAGACCGTGCAGGCTTCCTGCAATAAATCAAGCTGGCAGTGGCTCAAATTGAGAACCCAATGGGTGGGGACCAGCGAAACTCTTCTGATTATATTCCCTGCAGTTTGAAGAGAGGAGAACTATTCAGGGAAGAAGAATAAGAATGCTGTGAGCACTTTGAAGGACCGCTCTGGAGAAACTGTTAGAGGGGACAGTCTTCTCACCAGGTGCAGAGGAAACCGGACCTCACTCAGACCCTCCTGGCCCCTCCAGAAGGTGCACGCGCTCACCCACAGGTCCCACTGCTAGGCAGCCCTGGAGACTTGGACACAGGAAGTATGATGCTGGCCACTGTGTCCCCTGCCACCACCCTGTTACCCTGGCTCGCTCTTTCCAGCCTGCCCACTACTGTGGATGTTAAGATGAGTCTTCCCCAACCAACCTGATGAGGAGAGATGCAGGATCATCCCTAGGGTAGGGAGAGAAGCAGCCCGCTTGGGGTCCACAGTTGGGAGGTCTGGGTGTGGCCTCATGCTGTTCTAATCCCCCTCCCCTGGGGCACAGCCGGGGCATCCTCCTATCCCAAATGCTCTGTCCCCCCTGGGGAATAAGCCCCAGAATAAGCCCTTCGAAAGAGATCACAAACTCTGTAACCACCCGGAGAGGAGAACAACACATTTCTTTACCTTTCCCACATGTAGGCTGGGGGAAACGGAGGGCAGAAAGGGGCTCATCTTGAAAAGGCCCTGAGAACGTGCAGGTCAGTTCACTACCGACAGTCACACGTCTGGCAAAGCCACCAATCAAGCCCTTCTTCCCCAGTACTTGGCGGGGACGGGGGAGGTCCACACACTAACACCCTCAATGTCACTAGAGCCCAGGGTGCCTCTCCTCTGCAGGTTGAAAGGAGAGTGAAGGACAGAAGTGACCCCAGTTAAAGAGGAAACATGCAACACCCTCCTGGAACTGTTGAGGACTCCAAAAAGTGAGCTGTTAACAGAGAGCCCAGCAATTCCATACCTGAGTGTGGACACAAAAGAACTGGAGGAGGAGATTCACACAGAAGCTGGTATACAAATGTCCACGGTAGCTCTATTCATCATGGCCAAAGAGGGCAAGCAGCCCAAGAGCCCGCGGAGGGATGAGGGATAACCACGGGTACCATTCGGACAGAAAGAGGGACGCACTGGCACGGGCGACCACATGGCGAGTCTTGAACAAACACACTGTGCCGAGAAGTCACAAGTCATGTGATTCTATTTACACCAAGAGCCCAGAATAGGTGAACACACAAAGACCAAGGTAGACAGGTGGCTACCTTGGTGGGGGGCGGGGGTGTGTGTGGGGGTGGTGGTGTGTGTGAGGCTAATGCAAATGGGGTCCCCTGGAGGTGATGAAAATGTTTTGGAACTATGTGGGGTTGGGGAGGTGGGTGAGGGGTTGTGCAATATTGTGATGTTGCTGGATCCCACTGAACTGTTCACTTTCCATGGCTCATTTTGGGTCAGATGAATTGTATCTCAATTTGTAAAAAAGAACCAAGACAGCAAATGATTGGCATCCACAGCCATCTGCAGAGCTCATTACAGACCAGAGCGCACGCAGGGTGGTGGGGGGGCATTCAAAATCCTCAGAGCTGGCCCCCCCCAAAGCCAGTCTTTTATGGTTGGGGAGGACCAGGGCGGGAGGGGTCCTGTGGGGGAGGGCTGTGAGGCTCAGGGCTTGGGCATTAAGAATGCCTAAGTATGGGGCTGGGGTTGTGGCTCAGCGGTAGAGTGCTCGCCTGGCATGCACGAGGCACTGGGTTCGATCCTCAGCACCACATAAAGTAAAATAGATATTGTGTCCACCTAAAAAACTTAAAAAATAAATATTAAAAAAAAAAAGAATTGCAAATTTTCTCCCCTCCTGGGTCAGGAGGCTTTGCAGGCCAAATAGCAAGCAAGGTGAAGTCGATAGGTAGAGAGCTTTGCTTTCAGCCAGACCCAGGTCCAAACCTTCTGCTGACTGATGTCACGGGGGGGGGGGGGGGGGGGGGGGTCCCATGCCTCCCGAACCCCCCCTTTCCTCACTGGCGAAATAGAGCCAGGGGTTCCCACTGGGCGGGAGTGTGAATGAAGCAAACACAGGAAGCACCCGAGGTCTGGCAGCGGGCCGGGGAGGGCAGGTGTTGACTGGTCTGCCTGCCTTGGATTATTTATCAGGAGCAGCCGGAAAACAAGGCCCAAGTGCCCAGAATAGCAATGGAGCCAGGCCATCCAAACAGATGTTTTAAAAATATGACGGGGGAAAAATCGACGTCCTTGTGTTCAGTCTGGACCTCTCGGGGGTATTGATGAGGACACAACTGGCATCACCGAGCGGTGAGGAGCTGGAGGGTGCCTGCAGCTGGCCTTGTCCCTCGGTGACCCCCCCTCCCTCCCTGCACGCCCATCAGCCCCGAGGGCCAGGCACGTGGCCTCCCATCTCTGTGCTTCAGGGCAATTTGGCAGTGGCTGCTTTTCAATTAACACTGCAGACTCTCGAAATGGGGCTTGGGGGAAAGAGGCGGGTGGCAGAGGAGAAAAATAAATAAGACTGGCACATTGGCAAATGGGAGAAGCCACCTGCTTCACCGCACAGGAAACTTAAAGGGCCCTGAGCCGAGAGCAAGAGAGGGTGGGCTGCCGCATGTGACACTCTGTGCGTTCCTCACCCAAGGTGCCCTTGACCTGGGGCTCTGTTCCCCAATCCCTGCTGCAGGAGGCTGGCTGTGCTGAGCCTCTCGGCTCCAGGGCTCTCCCTGGGAAGGGGGAGACAGGATGCATTGAGGATGGGTTGCCCCCGGCCCTCTCCGTGCCAGGCTGGGGGCTGGCAGTCCTATGCCATCCCCTGCTAAGGTGGCCTCCTCTCTGGACTGTACAAGACTGGGTTCTGCCATCTGCTCCCTCCTTACCCCTCAGGCCTAGGGTTGTTGCCAGCCCCTGGGGCAAGGGCTCACAAAGCTGTGTCTTATCCACGTCCCTTGATGGTGCGCCCCGGGGCATCCTTCAGGTAGTGCCTGGTTTTTGTGCCTGGCTTCTTCTGCCAAGACACTAAGGCGTCTACCCCCAATAGTCCCCAAGTGCATGGCAATCGACAGCCAGGCAGTTCCAGATCTGTCCCTCACCAGGCACAAAGTCTTCAAAGAAAAGACTAATAAGTGACCTTAGAATAGACACTGGGACTGGAGCCGACATCTGTTGGGGACTTTAGGGCAGCTGACACATTGCATTTGTGGCCTTAATTTTCCCAGTTACCTGAGAAGTGGGCACCTTCATTTCCATCTTCCACATGAAGAGACCTCGGGTATGAGGGGCTGCAGGACTTGCTCAGGGTCTGGAAGGCAGGAAGCATTATTTCTGGGCTTGGATCTCCATCCCAAACCCTGACACCCTGGGTTTGTGATGGCCGTACCCACAACGAGGTTCCATCTGATGAGAACACGGTGCGGATGTCCCCGAGGGGTCTGCGCCTGACCAGGCAGGAGCACCTGCGTGAGACGCTGAGAGCCCCACTTGAGGCCTGCTTTCTAGGTGACCCTTTCTGGGGTGTTAGGGTTTGGATCTGAAATCTTCCCCAACTCTCTTGTGTCGGGGCTTTTAGGCAACAATTGGATCATGAGGGCTCTGAGCCTATCAGTGGATTAATCCATTTGGTGGATTAATGCTCATCTGGGGTCTAGAGCAATCGAGTTGGCCAACCATGGTCTGAAACCTCATAAAACATGAGCCAAGATAAACCTTTCCTCCTCTGACTTGTTCCTGTCAGGCATTTCACAGTGATGGAAAGCTGACCAGCCCATGGGACATGCCATGTGGAGTCCCGGGCCAGGGAAGGTTCCCCGGTGGGCTCCCAGGGTCTCATGGGTACAATGAGCCTCGGCAGATCTGGGTTTCCTGGTTCCCTTCCAGGCCTGGAGAGCTGTCTGACAGGCACCTACCTGTCCTGGTGACGTAACCCCCCGGATGGTGTCCCAGGAGGCTTTGTGCCCAGTCTCAACTCAGAGCTAAACCAGGCCCTGGTGTGTCTGGTAACCTTTGGTGTCCTCGGGGACAGGCTGTGCTGAGGAAGGCCCAGAGGGAGGATTACACGGCTCATACGCGATTGCCAAACCCATCTTGGGGAGTAAGAGAGAAAAAGCAAAACAAACACAGCCGCGTCTACCTCTCCCTGGTGCTGCTCCTGATGTCGAAAGGCTTTCCTGAAATAGCTTGGTCCCAGATCCCATGGAAAGTCCCCGAGGGGCAAAGGGCATGCACATACCTGTGCCTGGTGGAACAGGTGCCCTTTCCTGCCTTCCCACCCTCCATCCCCAGATCTTCGCGGGCACTGAGGGAAAGAGCCAACTTGGCAGGGCTGACCTGTTTTTCCGGGAATTGGGAGGGTCTTGCGTAAAAGGAGAAAGTTACGATTAATATGGACACTGTCATGAAAGAAAGCATGAGGGACAGCAGAACTCAGCTCTGCCTCTTGCTTCCTGTGTGACTTGGGTCGATGATATCACTTTAACTAGCCAAGACTGTTTTCTCACCTGTAAAGTGGGCACACGCTCCATCCCGGCCACAGGGTTCCTGCGAATGTCTTTCTGACAGTCTCCAAGCACGGGGGGTTCGGCATGTGGAGCAAGGTCAGAACATGTCCCTTCTCTCTCTCCTGGAGGTGACATCACAAGAAAGGGGACCAGTGAGCTTTACTATCTCATTTGTTAATGGGGTGTGTGCTTTATGACCAAGGGCTCCTGAGGCTGGCCTGCCCCCCCAAGTGAGCCCATCAGAGTTTCTGAGGTGTATGGTTGTGGGGGGGGTCACTCATGATACACTAGCACCTAGACCTACAAAGGGGCTTCAGGCCTCAGGTCCAACTTGGAGACCCAGAATGGTCAAGGAAGTGTCCACAGTCAGAAGTGGGGCTGGAATTCAGGCTTCCTGCTCTCTGGTCCCCAACAATCCTTCCCCTGCATCACCTTCGTGGTCTCCCCAAAATCCATGGGCATCCTACACCCAACGTCCAGGGGTAATCAGCAGAGTCTCACGTGGACCCCTGATTCTGGGGCCTCTGCTGTCCTCGCTAGGCTGATTCTTCCCCCGTGACGGTGTTACCACGTGGTGAAAGGGACTTTGCAGATTTGATTAAGCTCAGGAGCCTTGGGGAGAGGGTCCTGGGTTTTCCGGGGGGGGGGGCGTATTATCATGAGCATCCTTATAAGAGGGGGGCAGGAGACTCAGAGTCGGAAAAGATGAGAGGATGGAAGCAGAAGGGGGAGGGGTTGGGGAGGGGGAGGGGCAGGGGAGGGGAGGGGGAGAGGGAGAGGAGAAGTTTGAAGATCCTCTGCTAAGGGCTTTGAGGTGGAGGAAGGGATGCAGGAGGCCACCAGAAGACAGAGAAGGTGCGGTGTGGGATTGTCCCCTGGAGCCACTGGGAGCAGCACCGTCCTGCCCATCCATTTGGACCTCTGGCCTTTGGATCTGAAGAGTGAATATCTGTTGCTTTAAGCTGCTCAGTTTGTGGGCATTGTCCCAGCAGCAGCAGGACACTAAAGCCTTTAATTTTTTTTTAAAAAAGAATTAGCAAACTAGGATCTGTGTGTCCCATCTTGCCCCTTTGCCTGTTCTTGTAAATAAAGTTTTATTTACATCTGCAAAGTCCCTTTCACCACGTGGTCACACCGTCATGGTACTCAAGGACCTCCCGTTCTCTTCTCCCCACACTCTGATGTCCCCTGCACCCTGTGGCCCCTGATCCCTTGTCACAGCAGAGTGTTGGTCAGGCAGCCCCAGGGCATTTCCTGTCACAACCACACCCCCACTCCCAGGCGCAGGCCCCAGAGGTCGGGTTGTGCTCTCTGACCTTGTCTCTCTTGGTCACCATTGCCACAGTCTGGCTGGGCACAATTCAGGAGCCACTTGTCAAGCAGAAACGAACTTTATTTTTAGAACACACACCCGGCACCACACAGCTCTTCAGGAATTCCCTCAGAGCCCAACTGCCACCACCGGCTTCCCCCAAGCCTCTCTACCTCCCCCCCTCCTGCTCTTGAGGCCGATTGGCTAGGTCATGTGGGCGGAGCCAAAAAAGTCCCCCAATGAGCAGCTCCGTGGTCTGAAAGGGCGGGGAAACAGCCCAATGAGCATCACCACAGAGGAGCCAATCAGCTGGCAGCTGGAAGTTTGCTGGGGCCCCTTCAGCTGTGGCTCTCAACACACCATGACTGGCCCCTGAAGTGGACTCCGGCCTGAGATGGGCCAGCCAGATTTTTTTTTTTTTCTAAGGGAAAAGTGGATTTGGGCCCAGCAGAGATACTGGGGCCTTGTGTCTGTGATCCTGCCACCCTGGGTGCTATGGCCACCATGTTAAGGAGAAAGACCAACGGGAAGGAGCAGAGGACAGGAAGGGACCCAGGAAGTCCTCCAGGGAGGCCTAGTGAAATGCCCGGGGAAGACAGGGAGACTGAGAGGGACCCAGGGTTTGTGTGTTGAAATCTTAGCCCCAGCTGGTGGCACTCTTGGGAAATGGTGGAAATTTTAAAAGGTGGGGCCTAGCTGAAGGAAGTAGGTCACAGGGGTCATACCCTGGAAGGGTATATTTTGTCCCTGACCTCCACCCTCCCCTGACCCACCCCCTCTCTCGTATTCCTGGCTGCTACAAGGTGAGCGGCTTTCCTCTGCCAAACGCTTCCACCATAATGTTCTGCCTTACCATAGGCCTAAAAGCAGCAATGGCGCCCGTTGACCATGGATGGAAACCTCTGGAACTGGGAGCTCAAACCAACATTTCCTCCTTCAGATGTTTTCCTCCGGTATTTTGTCACAGTCATGAAAAACTGACTAACACACAAAGTGAGAGACAGGGACACGCAGGAGAGAGAGAGAGAGAGAGAGAGAGAGAGAGAGAGAGAGAGAGAGAAGAGGAGAGAGAGAGAGTGAGAGACAGACAGACATGCATGGACCAGAGAAAGGAAAAGGACACAGAGAAAGACAAAGGAAGACCCAGAGAGACCAAAAGAGTCACACACAGAGGCAGAGAGCAGGAGAGGGGAGAGAGTTAACAATACAGAGAACCAGAGGGATACAGAGATGCAGACACCCAACACACACACACACACACACACACACACACACACACACACAGAAACAGGAGGGGTGGAAAACAGGGGAAAAAAAGCAACTTGAGATTTATAAAGATAGCCTGGAAAGTTTCCATATACCTTTGACCACTTTTCTTAGCATACCTCTTAAAGCTAGTAAGTTCACATTGCTAAAATACTATTTGCTAAACTAATGTTTGAATTTTACCAGGCTTTCTGCCGCTGCAGGACTTGGCAAACTCTGTCTGTAAATATTCTCAGCTTGGGAAGTCATGCCATCTTTGCTGCAGTCACGCGACATGCTGTTATAGCTCCAAGATGATGGCCATAGACCAAAAGAATGTAAATAAAACTTTATATACAAGAACAGGCAAGGGGTAAGATGGGACACACAGATCATAGTTTGCTAATTCTTTAAAAAAAATTTTTTTGTAGTTATAGGTGGAAAGCATGCCTTTATTTTATTTGTTTATTTCTATGTAGTGCTGAGGATTGAACTCAGTGTGTCACAGGTGCTAGGCAAGTGCTCTGCCACTGAGCTATAGCCCCAGCCCATAGTTTGCTAATTCTTGGTCAATGTTCTTTTTTTTCATTCCTAGTTCTTTTTTTCTTTTTATTTGAATTTGTGTGTGTGTGTGTGTGTGTGTGTGTGTGTGAGTGATATGCCGGAGATCAAACTCAAAGCCTTGTACGTGCTGGGCAAATCCTCTACCACTGAGCAACACTCCCAGCCCTCACGTGGTCTTTAGCTGTCAATTCCTGAGCCTTTTCTTATCTTTTATGACATTGACATTTTTGGAAAGTACTGGTCAGGTATTTGGTAAAATATTGCTCAATTTGGGTCTGTCTGGCATTTTCTAGTGATTAGCCTGAAGTTGCACATCATTGGCAAGCTCACCACAGAAAGATGAGGTGTCTGAGTACATCATATCAGAAGGCATGTGGTGCCCGTGCGTCTTATCACATGCTGTGACGTTAACCTTGACGGCTTGGTGGTGAGAACGGTGTCTGCCAAAGTTTTTTTTTTTTTTTTTTTTGTATTACAGATGTGAACCCAGGAGTGCTCAAACCTTGAGCCTCATCCCCAGCCCCTTTTTATTTTTATAGTTTGAGCCAGGGTCTCAATAAGTTGCTTAGAGTCTTGCTAAGTGGCTGAGTCTGGCTTTGAACTCACGATCCTCCCGCCTCAGCCTCCTGAGCCCCTGAGATGACAGGCATGCGCCACCGCGCCCAGCCAAAGTTTTCCCATTGTAAAGTCATCATTCCCTCCCCAATTTTTTCTTTTCTTTTTTTTTTTTGGTTTAAATTTTGTTGTGGTAGACGGACAGCATGCCTTTATTTTCTTTTTTATGTGGTGCTAAGGATTGAACCCAGCGCCTCATACAGGTGAGACAAATGCTCTGCCACTGAGCTGCAGCCCCAAAGCCCTCATTTTTTACTTTTTAATGAATAAACATTTTGGAGGAATATTTCACAGCTGTGTAATCCTGTTTCTCCTTCAGTCTTCTCCGGCATGAATCTTAGCATTCATTCATTTGTGGCCTGTGGCATTTGAATGGTGAATTTCCATTTCCTTCTGCACTTAAGGGGGACCGTTTTCTGAGGATCAATTGTCCCTTCTCCTCCATTTACTTTTGAAATCACTTCCTTAGAGCAGAATGGACCTGTGGACATTTATTTGATTCAGTGAAATAAAATCCGGTACTATAATTTACCTGGATTTGTTGCTCAATAGTTCCAGCTTTAACTTCCCTGAAAGGGGGCTCTTTCAGGCTGACTCCTGCATCCCCTCCACAACCATGCCCACTTCTCCTCCCCACTCCCCATAGCCCCCACCACTTACCTGGCCGGCCCCAGTCCATGGGCACCTGTCACACACTCATGGGCCTTGTAAGTAGCAGTTTCCAAGGGATGCTTCTGAGACCCCTGGATTCACTCCCAGGATTCTCCCTCATATACTGGGGGACGGGCTGCTGTCCACATGGCCTGAGATGTCACCTCCAGGAAATTTGGGCTGAAAATCCCCCATGACATGACTCACAGGGCCACAACCCTGTGGGAATTAGGGACCTAGAAATTCACTGATGAAGAGCTAGCCACACGATGGTGGTCTTGGCTTAGAGAGGTGAGCCTGTCGGCAGGAGCTCATGGTCAAGGGAGACCGGAACAGGTTCTGAGTTCTCTCTATCCATCCCACTCCATCTCTTCTATGGACTGTTAGTTGATACCTATGTTTATTTGTTGGTTCCTCCATGTCTCCACTTGCTCATTCTTCAACAGGTATTTATTGAGTATCTACTATGTGCCGGGTCCTATGTCAGTGCCTGAGACACACCTGTGAATGAAACAGGCAGACATTGCTGTCCTGCTGTGACACAGAGAGAGAAACAAGAATCAAGGTGTGTGTCTGGGTTGTGGGGGAGGTGGCTATTCCTGGATGGTGATGCTGAGGGGCTATCTTTTTGGTCAAAACAGCATTCACCAAGCCGGGGAGGTCTCCCACGTAGAAACTTGCTCTCACATGCAATAGTACCACTTGTTGGTTCAATCAGGAGCAACTTGACAAGTCAAGTTTTAAAGCGGGATGGCTGTTCGCTCAGCTTCGCGCAGACTAGCGACGCATTTTTATTTCCCCCTTTCAATCCTGTCATAGCCTGTGGCTACAAACAAAATGCCACAGACTGGATCAGTTATAAAGAAAGGAGGCTGATTTGGGCTTTCTGTTCTGGTTCAAGGTCAAGGGCTTGCATCTGGTGATGATGGCCTTCTTGCTGGGAGTCCCCAGGCCAGGCTGGGCACCACACGATGACCGACAGGGAGCACATGTGTGTGCTGTTTAGTCTTTCTCTCTCTTATAAAGCCACAGCAGCCAACCTTGGAGATGTCACCTTATCTAGTCCTAGTGACCTCCCCAGGCCCCACCTCAAGTCCAGACCTGGAAAGGGCCCATCTGGGTTGGATAGTAGCTCTGTGACACTGACTAATTCGAGTCTCTAGATCTCAGTTTCCTCATCTGTGAAATGAAGAGCTTGAAGTAACACCTCCTTCAGGAGGACACTTGGGAGAACTACTAGCATCATCTGTAATAGGGCTCTCAGCCTAGGCCTGAAAATAGGTGCTAAACCGTTCCTACTTAAAGTTAAAATTGAATAAAATGACAGAAGGGACACGTGTTCTTAAAGACGCTCCAACAGCCCGGCGTGCTGGTGCCTGCCTGTCATCCCAGCGGCTTGGGAGGCTGAGATGGGAGGATCGCGAGTTCAAAGCCAGCCTCAGCAAAAAAAAAAAAAGTGAGGTGCTAAGCAACGCAGTGAGACCCTGTCTCTAAATAAAATACAAAATAAGGCTGAGGATGTGGGTCACTGGCCGAGGGCACGTGAGTTCAATCCCCATTATCAAAAAAAACAGAATGAAAGAAAGAAAAAGAAAGGGGCTATGGATGTGGCTTAATGGTTAAACGTCCCCAAGTTCAACCCTTGATACTGGGGGGGGGGGACACTCAAACATCACAAAAGATTCAAAAAGCTAGGAATTCCCTGCCTCCCTCCAAGAATAACCACAGTCAAAAGTCAGTTTTGTGCATTTGCAAGTTTATGGTGTTTTCTTGTTTAAAAATACTCTTTTTTTTTTTTTTTTGGTGGGGTACCAGGGATTAAACCCAGGGACACTTTACCACTGAGCTTCCTCCCTCGTCCTTTTTATTTTGAGTCAGGGTCTCACTAAGTCGCTGAGGCTGGCCTAGAACCCGAGATCCTCCTGTGTCCCCACTCTTCCTGGGAACACCCCCGTGTGCCACTGTGCCCAGCCATCCTCAATTTCTTTCAGATGGAAGTGGCTGCATCCCAAGAGAGGCCTGGCGACTCGGCCAAGTTCACAAAGTTGACCTCGCCCCACTGTTCCTCTTACCATCAGCTGGGTTTGTTGCTCGGTCCCTGTTCACTGTCTTTGGATAAAATATGACTTGTCTTAGGTCCGATTCCCCCAGAAACAGATACAGAGGCAAGGATTCAAAGCTTTCTCCTCGAGCAGAAGCCAGATCCGTGAGGACAGCAGGACACAGAAGGGTTAAGAAGCTGCGGGGGTAGGGGGGGAGACATTAGGGGTGCCCTGGCTTAGGCCTGGTCCTGAGGGTGGGGGTCTCGGGTGTGAGTCACAGCTTTATCTGTCTGTCCTCTGCGTTGGGGAGCTGAGCCTTCCTGCTCACTCCTCCCTGGCTATATAGACTCCCTGGGCAGGGGGGACCCTGGGGACTAAACTTGGGGACTATACCCTGGGGTGGGAGGGGGGTCTCAGGAGCCAGGTGTGAGCCCCCCAGAAGTGCATTGTAGCTGGGACCAAGGCATGAAAACATGCTGGCTTCCCTGATCAGCATCAGCCGTCCACTGGCCAACAGGACGGATTCAGAGTTCAGCCCACAACCCAACCTCTGCCAGCAGGAGTCGGCCCAGGATCTATTTGGAGAGAGAAGCACATGGACTCGTATTTTTTTTTTTTAAACTGGCAAATAGGATTCCATAGTGTGACTAAAGCTTGATATATGTGCCCCCTTCACCTGCTGGGAAACATTCAGGTGGCTTCTCCTGTGCATGTGTACACCTGGGAAGGGAATGGGGCCGGGCTACCGGGAACCTTCAACTCGGCCAGAGAGGGCTCCATTGTTCTCCACGGTGCTTACAGCAATCAACACACCCACCCACTGTGCCCAGAGCTCCTCAGTCCTTGCCAAAACCATGATATTGTCAGACTTCTTATCCTCTGCCAACGGAGTGGGCGGAAGAAGATAGCTCCC